GTTGGCATAGTGAGTTGCAAACTATGCATATTACCTGAGGCATTGTATATTTTATAACATATTGTATCAATTTGTGCTCCTCTTGCTTTGATATTCTCTTTTTTGTTCTTGCCATGAAAATCACACATTTGATTCTCTCTTTTACTTTCACTGGTTTGTTTACATGTCTTCAAGTGTGTTGTATCTGGTTTACGCTAGTTCTTATGCCATAAGCCTCTTTTTCATTATAGTAACCTCATTTTTGTTTCCTTACCTCTATTTAAATCTCCATTTGGTGGTTATTGCTTGTCTCCAGAAAAGTCAGAGAATGGACCAATGTTGAGTTATCGTTACTTACTGCATAATAAAAGCAGAATTAAAAGCTTATTCTAAGACCTTCGAGTGCTCTCTATCAAGCTACATATTTTTGGCTGGAGTTATTGCACTGAGGCAAGAACACAGAGAGACTTCAGTGCCGGGCCCCAGGAACTCTCTCTCTATAGACATAGTATTACAAGATACTAATCTGTGATTTTATTCTGCATCACTTGTCTAATACAGCTAAAATTTCAAAATGTGTATGTGTATATATAAAAAAATAGATAGGGTGCACTAAAAGGTATTTTTAGTGAATCGTAGTGTTTATTTAAATCAAATCAATTACATGCACCCTAATCGACATTTTGACCCATTTGGGTCTCTTTCACGATCAACAGTGCAATATACATTTACTGTTTAGAAAGATAAAAAAAAAACATAAGTGACTTGCCAATCTCTGAGTGTGATCCCCTTCCCAATCAATGGGAAGTGCTCATGCGGGACAAGTGATGCATCACATAGCAACCAAGCTGTCAGCAATCAGACTTTACACTTCAGCACTGTGTACGCTTGAATCACTTATCCTGATTTTATATATATATATATATATATATGTACACAGCCCATCAGAAATAAAACAACTTCGAATCAGCAATTGTAGATGAACAATCCCGAAGTGACTTATGAATTCTGAAATCATTTCTAAACTATCCATGAAATGTGTGGGCAGCAGAACTAATAAAGTGTTTCCTTGCAGCTGTTGACAATAAAATAATTATGATAACACAGGAAATCATATGCATAAGTAATCTCTTGGTAATCTGGCCAGGGTGACTGTTCTACATGTATAGCTAGAATCCAAAATAATATACAGTGTTTATTAAATAATTGAATATCTCCTCTTCCACAATCAAAACATGTAGGTCAACTGAAGCTGCATATGTTTGTATAATACCCCAAATCAGTATCTCTGATTATAACTGTACGAAATGTGATTGTGAAATATTTTATATCTTCCCTTCTATGTGATATATGACATTGTTAACCACAAACAAAGTTTGAAAAGCGGCCTTTAATAGCTATGCTCATTTTTCAAGTTGCTATTTAAATTCACTAGAGCGTGTTCCTTGGGGGAATTCAACAGAATAAAGAAACATTGTACAGTCGATGCAGTTTTCACAGTTCAAATTACGAAAAGCAGAAATTTTGATCAGGGTTTGGAGATTGCCGTTATAGAAGTAAAAAAAAAAAAAAAATAGGACATACATCGTACAGAACAGTGAGTCTGCTAAAACAAAAGAGCATTATGGAGTTGGATATGGGCCAGAGATCAAAAACAAAGTTATAAAGAAGAGAGCGTGGGTTTGAACAATAGTAGGTGAAGCGAATTTCTTTGTCAGGGAAAAAATAGATATGGTAGAATATGATTGAGTTATTGAAATAGGGTCAAGAGGACCACACGGGAAAAGAGTTTATTTCAGTATTTGCAGATTGCATTAATCATGGCTTAAAAGAGGGCTATATGACCACAATAAAACGTTATATTTTGCTGCGCATTACAAAGCAAAACTTGATACAGTTGCACTTGGTAAGCTTAATTATAATATATTTTAAAGACAACCATCGACAAAAATCCAGTGAAAAAATATAGATATACACAGGTTATACATTAAAGCGTGAATTGATGGGAACTAGCGAAATTGATAGCTTTACAGCTTTGGAGAATTTTACAAACTGACTGTTTAGGCCCAAAATTTGAAATTCGATTTGACTGCTCAACAAGTCAGTCTGCCATAACTGTGTATAATATTTATTCCATTAGAGCAGTAGATCAGTACACTCTGTGCTTGTATTTTGTTTTCTTTTTTCATTTGTTTGTTTATTTACTTATTGCTTCCTTTACAAAGTGTTATTAGCCAGAATAGTACTTATTTTGATGACTTATTACGGAAATGACCACTGACTATGGGACTACACATACACAGCAATATCACTAGAAATGGTGGTCTTGTTCCATTCCACAGCATGTCCATTAATCTTGAAAAGCACATGTTGACAAATTTGGAGACAGCATTTACATGATTTACTAGCAACAAACCCTTCTAGGACAGTGAGGAGAGGAGGATAGGAATCAGGGACTTCCTTAGGCAAAGGGGGTGAAACTCACAAATTGGGTGAAGCTCATGATATTGCTAAAATGCATATGAAGGATTTAAAATGATAGACATCGGTAAGTAAATAAAGTTAAAAAATATTGTTGGGCTGAAAGACACAGACAGACATACTGAGTTATTACCTAAATTAGAATTCAAAGGGAATTTCAAATTTAAGGTCAAAATATTTGAACTGGAAACATTCTCTAAGTCAGCCATGGTTTCTGGTTAGCTACTCTGATCTTAACGTGTTACTCCAATGTTATTTTTTTTTTTTTACTTATAATGCCTTATCCCCCATATAAAGTTGTAAAATGAACATAAAATTACCATGAATCCAGCACCGGACAAAGCTCCCCTCATTGGTTTCCATATCCTTTCCCATATCACTGCTTCCCTCTCTGTGGTCCAAGAAAATGCTTCTCATTTTTTCATAAAACAAAGAAAAAAAGCAGACTAATTGTGAAAAAGGCATTGAACAAGGAGGCCTGAAAGAAGGCAGGGAGAGGAAATTTAAGCTTTTACGTGCAGGCGAGCTCATTGCGCTGCGTGCAAAGGTAGAAGCGGATTACGTTGGAATTGTGCATTTACATGTGTGCAATGATAGACAGCTTTTACACATATATATTTTGTGTTATCTTTTTTTTGCCTTCCTTGTCCTTATATCAGCAGATAGATATTCTAGGGGTAATTATGTAATTTTTTTTATTCGTTTGTATGTTTATACTCTCTTCTTCCCATATTTTAAATGCCCCCTCTGAAATACTGTTGGAATCTGAATCGCACACTTAACTTAGATCAGCAACATCATTAAGTGGGATGCACTGTGGGAAACACATAGTTTCAGAAACCTGGGTGGCACATAGAGAATATCGCAATGCGCCTTCATGAACGAAATGAGTGATGGAAAGCATGCCATTGTGTCTCAGATGTGAAGTCATTGCACCTGGAACAAGATGATCAGAAGAGAAGAATCCAATCTACTGGGAGAAGAGGAGCACCAATATGAGTGGGATTTCAAAGAAGGGCTGGGTGTGAGGGGAGGGGTAGTATGTACTTGTGTGTTTTGTTTTTTTAACTGTAATTATAATTGTCCCTGAGGAAGTCCCAAAAGGACAAAACGTGTTGGTCGACTTGTGCTGATCCATTTTTTAATACACTGGCTATTTTTAACCAAGTTGTAAGTCAATCATTTATTTTGGATATATCTTTATGCATTCGTTACATCCATCTGTTCATCTTTTCCATGCCTATGGTCTCATACTGTTGGGAACTAATTTTGATGCTGGGTATCTGGCTCAGCCAAGACATATCATCATCGATACCATATTGGAGGATAGTTACAAGGCACATTGTTACATATTAAGTGTGAGTGGCCTATTGCAGCACATATATTTTGGTTTATATAGTTACACACTAAGCTTTGGCTTTCTGTTTTTTTGTTATAGCAACATCCCCTATCACATCTACACTGAAGACCAGAGGAAGTATTGGGGTATATCTGTTGTTATAAATGGAAGTTTCTTTCTTTTCCATGTATTTACTCTCTGCAATTATGTTTTGTCATATTGTATATATAAATGGTGGTTAAATAGGAGACTACATTCCTGTGTCTCCAGAACATTTATGTATATCGAAAAAAGGTAACACCTGAATCACAGCATCACCAGAATGACACAAGTCCAAAAGTAAATAATAAGGTGTTGTGTCGCAGTGTTCTGCATCAAAATTTATGCAAGTCTAAATATTGGTAGCAGAAATTGTACATGGAAGATTATCTAGGAGGCCAGGATTCCTTATACTCAAAAAATATCTTGAACAATCTAAAATACCACCAAAACCTATCCCAACATTGCATCAGTTAAGTTTTTTTTTCTGTTTAACTGGGGCATAAAAATGGAGAATCAATAACCTTATATTTATAGAAAGCATGAGCCTTGAATTGGGGGATGGGTTATACCACATATAAAGCATGCAAAACCCTCCCCTTATGTGCAGCCGTATTCTCGAAGTGGTGATCCACTTCCGGTTCATAGCTGAGGAGAAGGTGACCCTCTGTGAAGTTCCCATTTTTCACGAACAAACCTGGTCTAACAGTTCAACCGCTGTAAGTATCGACATTTGTTCTGTGAACCAGACAGTCTAGAGCCCTCTGGCAGCAGATTGCCAATCGTAAGTAACCTAGCTTTTTGCGCCTTATGCACTTCATTCGGCAAACAGCTATTTTATTGTATAGAAACTCACGAACTAACTCACGATCATTCAAACGAATGGCCAGCACAAACTCATGAACTGCTCAAATTCAGGTACTCTAGCTCTCAAATGCGAATAAAACCATGAACAGTTAAACGCACTAACCATTTAAAAACCACAAACAGATATAAAAAGCTAACGAACCGCTCAAATCTCACGAATTACAATGTCATGAAAAGCAATTCAGTTAAAATCTATACAAACCAAGAAGAATATTAATGTTGATTTTAAAAAAAATTGGTTAAAATATATATATATATATATATATATATATATATAATCTCTATATATCTATCTCTATAATCTTGGGTTACTACTAATACTAAAGTAAATAAAAATAAAGTCCCGACGCGCGTTTCGTTGCTCTAATGGCACCGAAACACGCGTCGGGACTTTATTTTTATTTACTTTTCACTTAGCACTTTACTCACTATGCAATAAGCCTGATCACCACTTTTGTTTTTATTGTGAGGATGCTCCAGGGGGTTAAGTTAGGGTTTACCTATGTATACTAGAAGATAGGAGACTCCATTTCAGCTGTTTATACAGGGACTTATACCATTAGCATCCATGGTAATGTGGGCAAAGAGTCTTTACATAATACATGTAAAATAACCTAATATAGTGCAATATAAGACAAAAAGGAAAACAACAATGAATTAAAATAAGATACATATGATACAAATACATATAATAGGAATACACATGAAAAGGACCCTATAGATAAAAACCTATACTGAAGAGGTGGAGAGCAGTCAAAGAAACATGTCAAAAGTTTTGTTATGTGCAAAGAGTATAAAAGAGAAAGCAAGTGGGGTTAAAAATCTATCAAAAAAAAATATTTAAAATTGCTAAATTCAAAATCTAAATTAAGTCCTTTGGGAGCCAAAGAATTTAGGGTGAATACCCACTTGCTTTCTATTTTGCACAATTCTCTAAAATTGTCCTCCTCTCTCCAATTAAAAGGTTTTTTAAAATTGCGATAACACCATGTGACGGAGCTCCCTGTACCCCTGGCTGGGTACCTCTGCCAAGGACCGCTTCCTAGCTGGAACAGGGGACAAACCACAGCACTTCTGTCCACAGTTGCCGTGGCTTGACTGGGATCCTGGAACCGCGCCCTCCTGGAGCCAAATGGGGAATTCGCTCTAGACACCCCCAGGCATTGGACGACACTCAGTCCTTGGAGCTCTAGTCCTTACAAGGACTTTCCCTGTTGAATACTCCATGCTGGAACAAGTTGGAACAGTGATTAGCCCTTTCCCCTCTCAGTAACCAGATGACACATAGTCCTGGGAGTACAAGCTGGAATACTTTTAATGGCAGCCACAACTGGCCTTAAATGCATGTCCCCATGCAGATGGCATTCCCTTATAGACCTGAGAGTAAACCACAGTAGAAACAAATACACAATTGCATTGGTCCTCATATCCAGGACACTCCCATACATAATCAGATAATCCCTCCTCTGAGCCTGGGAGATAATTGGATCAGGATTTGTACTAATCTTATCCAATTATCTCCAAGCACAGAAAAAAAAACATATTTTATCCCAAACACCCCAAAAGTACCCTAAACATACATAAAAACCCCATAAAAGTTACATCCCCTGATAGACATGATCTGGGTGACCAATATATCCACAAATCACCCAGATCAGTTCAGGAAGTTCCTGGAAGTCATTTGTTTGACCGACTGCACGCATCTTCCCATGCCCAAAACAGTTCCAGAGAATCAGGGCTTGCGGTCGGTCTAGTTCGGTAATTTAAAAATTAACAAACTACCGAACATAGTTAATAGTCTTACACTGGAGCTTGTTCCCCTTGTTCATGGGAACATTTCCACCGAACAGTGTCTTTCTAAGTGTTGTCAAACCGAACACAGGCGATCATGGAAGTCCAGCGGTGTTCAGGAGATTCAGTGTCTGAAAATAGTTCCATGAACTCGACGACCAAACACCGCTGCCTGGTTTCATGCGAACAAGATAGATGCCACCTCATGGTCGTCCATAGGAATTTCGGCCACCCAGACGAACACTTAAAACACTGCGGTGGAAATTTCTACAAAGTATTAATTAGGCTTAACAAGCTCCAGGGTGGCCTCCGGTTCGTGTGGGTGTTCGGTTCCCAAACCATCTAGTCTAAATACATGAACGGAGACTTTTACATCACATTTTACAGGGTCCATAGTCTGTGGGCTGGAGACTGGCAAGCAGGCTCCTCCAGGAATTTGTGGCAAACTCACTTGAAAAGGGAAGTTTGTCACACACCACTTGCTTTCTCTTTTGTATTTGCACATAACAAAACTTTTGACATTTTTCTACAGTTTCTTTAAGACGGTCCTCCACCTCTTTTCTATACATTTTTCTCTCTGTGGTCCTTTTTATGTGTATTCCTATTATATTTATTTGTATTATGTATATCTTATTTTAATTTGTTGTTGATTTCTTTTTTGTCTTATATTGCACTGTATTCTCAAAGTTATTATACCTATATTATGTAAGGACTCTTTGTCCACATTAGACATGGTACTTTTCCAGTTTGCCCTCACTGTGTCGATCGAGGAACCGGAAGTGACATAATCACGTCCGCATCACGTGATGGGCACAGCCTGATGACGCAAGTATGCTGCGCCGGAAATAAGAAGTATCATAGTTCTACCGAGTTCCAGATTGATTTCAATGGTATTTATTGCGACCAAGGAAAGAGCACTTCAACACTGAAGAAGACTCCAGCCGAAGTAGAAACGTGTATGCTGTTTTATTGACTGACTTTTTTATTTACTTGTCTATTTAGGATATATATCTTTTTATACTTATTTGTATATACAACACTGCTTAATTGTCCCTTCTTTTATTATGTTATGCCCAATGAATTTTGTTATACCTTATTTGATTCCATTGCTGCTCTCCATCCAGTATGTCATTTTAGCCTGTTCAAGCACCCTCCAGCATATCATATAGAGCCTGTGACGGCTCTACATCTTGTGTGTTTTATCCTATATAGGGGCTTATTCCTTTTGTTTACAATCTGCACTATGTATGATACTTTTGTTTTCTAGATTGATCCAGTTTTTGAATTTCTGCTGATTGGTGTAGTATTTAGTTTTGTTGTGGGATACACTTATATTACACCTGTCACTCCTATCTTTATTGGTAGCGCCTACGCACCTATTTACCTTTTTGTACCCCTTTGTTACAGGCCTAACCACCAGTCGGTTTCGGCACACTACAACCGACTTGTTCATGCAATGGTTTCCTATTCACACTATAGTTATATTCTATACGGCTTTAAAGTTCCTGGACACAATATATATATATTCCTATAATCTATATAATACATTTACAGTTATAATCGAAATTATTAAACCCCCTTTGAAAATCAGGTTTATTGTCAAAATTCACAGACTTTCAGCTGTTTTCAATGAACAAACAAACAAAAGCAAATCAATTCAACTGAAAAAGCAACTTATAATGCCTTCTTTAGTCTCAAAATTATTCAAACCCCTGAATAGAATCTCTTACAACAGCACAAATATGCAAACCAGGCATTGTCTCAAGTACATCCAATGCAACTAATCAAGGGCTTCATTAGTTGCACCAGGTGTCCTTGAACTGGAACACTGGCTTTTGGTTTTCTGAGTGTCACGTTTGACACTCAGTCCACTAAGTTAAGAGAAGAGGTTATCGCTTTCCACAAATAAGGAACAAAATACAAACAGGAGGAAGATTAATGATGCATACACTGAAAAGAACTTTCTACCTACAGTTAAGCATGGTGGTGTCTCAGTGAAGTTCTGGAGCTGCTTTGCAACTTCTGGCACTGGAAAACTGTAGCGTGTGGAAGGCAAGATGGAATCATTGAAGTATCAGGAAATCCTAGAAGAAAACGTCATGCCATCTGTGAGGAAGCTGAAGCTTGAGTGTCATTGGACCTTCCAACAAGACAATGATCTCAAGCATACATCATATCCCACCAAGGCTGGGTTGCAGAAGAAGTCTTGGAAAATACTACAGTGGCCATTACAGTCTTCTGACTTGAAGCCCATAGAAAATCTGGTGGGATTTGAAGAAGGCAGTTGCAGCATGCAAACTCAAGAATATGAACTCATTGTTCATGAGCAAAGGGCTACGATTTTGCAAAACTCTGCTAGAAACTGGTGTCTGGCTATGCATCTGATTTGCAGCAGGTCATAACATCAGCATGATTCTCTACTAAGTACTAAAGATGCTTGCCATGCAAGGGTTGAATAGTTTTGAGACTGGAGAAGTCATTCTAAGTTTCCTTTTCAGTTGAATTTGGGGAAACCACTTGAAGCATACCTTGTGTTGAGCTATTCCAATTGCTTTTGTTTGATTTGTTCATTGCAAACAGCTGAAGGTCTATACATTTTGACAACAAACCTGATTTTCGATGGGGTTGAATAATTTTGATTACAACTGTGTGTGTGTATATATGCACATATACACACACAAATATCATATGCATTAAAATAAAGTGGATAATAAAATAGAAAGGGTGTGGGAAAAAAAATATTGGCTCCCCCCCGGTGGGATGGGGACACAATGGCACCCGCAGGGCCCTTTCAGAATTGGGTGAGAAATTATGAAACATTTGGTAAACTGCAGGGGGTTATAAGGCTTAAATTGCAGTATTCTGCAAACAGATGGTATCTGAAACTGACTCATAAGTGTAGCTTTATATTTTAAGCTCTTAATCGATGGAGGGTGGTGTTGTTGGGTAGCTAAGCAGATGTTAGCTAAATATTCTCCCACACCTGGGCATAAATAGAATTGGACTTAATACACTCATTGGACTTCTGTCAGATTATGAAATGTGACAAATAAAATAATGTGTGATTCTTTTTCGTAATTTTATCTTTCCAGTGCTCTATGCCATTCACTTCATAGACACTTCTATTGATGTTGCACAGATTAATTTATTTTATTAATAATTCTGTATTTCTAATGAATCTTTAATTTGATTACATGTACTGTAACTTCTTTATACGACATTAAATTCTAGTAGGATGACTGACCTTGCCAGAGAACAAGCATAAGATATTAAATAAGCAGGTTTTCATTTCATAATACACGTTTGTGTCCTTTCTATGAAACATCAAATAGAAATGAGTTTCCCAAATGTGATCTCTGTAGCCTTGAAGTCGGCAGCCTTGAAGCTGCACTACTTACAATGATTTGAATCACTTGGAGCTGCTGTTATAATTATTAGTATTTTTTCTGCATTCAAACAAGTATGCACGCCTTATACCTTAACCTTTCACAGCATTAGGTGCTTCATAGACTCAGAGAAAACGTATCAGGGCCACAGCATTAAGCTATTGACATTAATAAATACATCAATCTAGGGGTGGACTTACTTGGCGCTGTGTTCCGAGTCGTTCAGAGAATGTTTTCAATCAGGACAAGATAAAATTAAATACCAGGCAATAAATAATCTCTGGAGCACTGATTTATTATTTTTTTTAAATATTGTTTATTCCAGTGATTTAAAATATTTGTTTAAATAATGAATTTTGATTGGATAGGCTTCTACAGAAGCCAGAAGCAGGGCCATCTTTAATATCACTAGGACCCTGGGCAAAGCATTTTTCTTGGGCCCCCTAGGCACCCCCACTCCCTGGCATGCAATCGCACCTTTCACATAGATACTTACACAGACATATACAAGGACAGACATACTGACACATACACACAGACAGGCATACTGACACACACACACATATATACTGACAGACATGCTGACACAGACAGACACACTGGCAGACATACTGACACACACAGTCACATCCCATTGACAGGCATACTGACACACACACACAGACACATACATATACTGACAGACATACTAACACACACATACACTGTCAGACATACACACAGATATACTGACAGACAACCTACTGACACACACATACACTGTCAGACACACTGAGACACAGAGACATACACTGACAGACATACTGAAAGACATACTGACACATTCACACTTTTAAATCTACTCCACGTTTCCTACCTTGAAGGATTGCTTCCCTGGTGTCCAGAGTGGTGGCTGAGGCTGTTGGGGGTTGCCGACTGGCAATCCTGACAGACCCCCTCCTCTCTGCTTCCTGGTGTTGTCTCTCCCACGCGGCTCTCTCTGGGAGGAAGTGACTCACTGCAGTCACTTCCTCCAATGCTGCCCAAAAGCAAAGGGGCCCAGTCATGCTGTTAAAGGGCCACAGTGCACGACCGGGCCCCTTCTTACACACGCCCACCCGGTGGCCCTTAGGCATCCCCAGGATGCACCAAAGGCCCATGGGTGGGGGGGGAGAAAGTTGTTGAGGGCAGCAGGGCCCACGGGGAAGCTGTCTTGGGCCCCCTAGAAGTAAAAGGGCCCAGGGCAGCTGCCTGTTTGCCCTGCGTTAAAGACAGCCCTGGCCAGAAGCACATCAGCCAACATGCAAGGAACCTCAGAACCTGGTGGGGGCCCAGGGTACTCCTGGCATCATAACCACTACAGTGGGCTTTAGTGGTTATGATGTCTGGAGTAACCATTTAAGCTATGTCTTTGCAATGTCGGTGGACTGGGACAGGAGTTTGGTTACCTTGTGTCTCATGTCTCTTTCTTCCTAATGCTTAAATATTATTCACAGAACAACATAAATAGCAGTGGGGGTCAATATGACTCCCATATTAGTGCAAGGGATGTTTTAAACAACTACTGTGTCACCACTCGCCATGCTGTGAGTGGGAGCATGTTGCTAAACAATAATAGATTGGTGACGGTCCAGCAATTGTTTACTTTAAACATACAGGGGGACTTTGTGCTGCCACCTATGAGCTCCAGGTTGGGTCCCTCTGTGCCCCCACGGTGGTACTCTTAATATAATAATGAAGGAGTGGGACGTGATGTCCTCCCCCAGTCCTCACCAATTGGCAGCACATAGGGGCTCTAATATTAATAAATGGGGAGACCCAATGCCATGCCATTGCCTACTTCTCTGGGTGACTAGGGGTTCCCAAGCCCCTTGCCATGCACCCAATAAAAATAACTTAATGAGTATGCCCCTCACAATAATAATAGTTAAATAAAAAGATATTATTTGATATCTTCTTAAAACTTCCTTTCTTCGCCACCAAAAAAGACCAACTAAAAAAGTTCATTTTGGTCCTATCGGTTGTCTTCCCCTTATGATCCATCCAGATTCAGATTTGTAGTGTGTACAGTGTTTCTGAATTACTTAATTTTGGGGTATATTCAACATTCAAAGAAAGATCGTGACAGCGAGAGGTTTAATAACCCCTGGATGGAGACACCTCACTCTTACTACGTCGACTTCTACCATTGGTGGAGGTGTGTGCCTTGTAATGATACTCTTTTTTCATCCTCTTTCCGTTGCCACCTATGTTAGATGGACAGTCGGGTGTTGATTAATGGGTGGGTTTAGAGAACCCCTCTCCCCTTTAAAATGTCATACAGGTGATCATTCTGATCCAGCCCCAGACAAAAGCGCACACTTAATTGCCGAAATGCGTGTTGGACATTCTTCTTATCTTTTATTCTCACACTTCACGTTTTGGGTACTAAAACGTGATTAGCATGGCTGTTAGGAGGGAATCCTTAGGAAAAAGCTGTGAATCAGCTGATTGAGAATCTAGAAGAGCGGACTGGATTATGTGGTAGTCAGACAGTAGCTCATATGTAGGATTGCCTTAGCTGTTACTGAATTTTAGGACTGAGACAAACCCCTCTTCTCTTTACTCTGTTAAAGTTTATGATAATATTGATTTTTTTTTCTCTTCATTATAATAATATTATCTTAATATACTATTTCACTGAGAAACTAGGATAAATTGTAACCATTATATTTAGCATGATAGTGTGTAAGACTAGCTATATAAACAGCATACATTGTAACATTTACAACTCATAACTTCGACCATCTTGTCAAATACTGAAAAGTATCTTCTTGTCCCTTTAGTGTTTATAAATTTCAGGGGCTTCTAGGAGTGTATTATACATATATACATACTCTCTAATTTCTAGCTACATAACAAATAAGCTATGTTGCTAATTTATACAGTTTCTTGTGACTGTTGTTACTGTACTGTAACCTACAGCATGGAAGGTGTTAGATGCAAGAGGCATATGGTCTAAATACGGCCTAGTTACACTTTATGTGGAGGCTGAAACCACTTTTGTCTTAAAGAGACCAAGCCACCAGATAATAATCTTTCTAAATTATTTTTTTTTTTTAGTCCTATCAGCCAGTCCTTTGTTTTTAACATTGTAGTGTTTATTTATTTCAGAAATATTTTACCAGGAAAGATACATTGAGATTTCTCTCATTTTCAAGTATGTCCTGGGTCCACAAAACATTGCATTGATACATTATGGTACAATAAAATTTAAAAACAATATTAATACACAATATATACAAATTTAACATAGAACATGTATGAAATATATAATCAACCATGACTTTTATATCTATATACAAGTGTGTTTCCTAGTAAAAGAAGAAATGGCGTGTCTTTTAACCTGTTAATTATGAACTTATATTATTATGAGGACCTTTTATTTCTTTGTGCCCTGCATCTGGGGGTATTAGATAAATACATGGTTAAGTAACCCAAAAATGTGGACAGCGCTAAAGGTTCTAATACAAAGTGTAGCACATAAAATAACAAAATTGATAAAACCAGCAGCAATCATCCAAATAAGTGACTGATAACATCCAAAAACCAAGAAATTGTGTTGCGCTAAATTATTATTCACTATACTTAGTCAGTTCATATATCTCATCAGCTATTTTTTTTTTCATGGAATCATCTGCAAAGATACATATAAAACAAATATAGTGCAGACCATCAGATCTTAAATATTTTAGTTGTGCACACTTATTAAAAATTGGAGTTCACACTCACATTTCCCAGAGCCTAATCAACCCTGGCTCTGGGTGGGGAAGGCTCCTATGGAGAAGGAAAAATCCCACATTCAGGTGTCCCAGGGAAACCAAGTATATTCTGCAGCACTGTATGGAAGACAGAACCAAGAGCACGCCAATGGCACAGTATAAAAGATAAATGTATTAGTAACACAATTAAAACTGCTTACTCAAAAAAATGTGGGCTTGTGATGTACAAGTTCTCGCAAAAAGTGATTTAGTTTAAAATTCAGTAGTTGCTTCCTTATCTCGGATCCTGGCTCTGCCCCCTTGTGATGTAACGCGTTTCACCTACGTGACCTGGGCTTCCTCAGACGTTCTCTTCATGCTGCTCACTGCCTATTTACGTCAATAGCTCCACCTCCATTCGTTAATGATTGGTGGAGTCTGTGACCTATGTCCTTGGATATGCAAATCTTGTTCCCCATTCAATCTTCTTCATGGAAGTTATTCAGAGTCCTCACACTTACAGCTCATGATTCATACATATCGGCATTAAAAGGATAAATGTTCATGTTGAAAGACAAAGAATTGTTTCATTATTTGTTTAGAACATATATACATCACATTTTATAAACCACATGTTATCATTTATCCTCCTTCGTATGTTCCTTTCAGATAATTCAGGGATTATCTACTAAAATATATATATATATTTTAAAATAAATTAATTAATAAAAAAGGAATTAAATTTTTGTTTAGATGTTCTCTATTTGTCCAAAGTCTCACTTAAATCATTTATATAGAGAAAAATATTTCCTTAACTAGAAAGGGGATTATTGCCTAAATCAACATTTATTTTTGGTTCCTAAAACTTATAGAATATTTATACATTTCCTTATTATGGATTTCATTCTTTATGTTATTAGTATCTAGCCTCAAAGTGAAATAGATTTTTTTTTAAATGAAGGTCTACAAACAATTATTAAGATACTTGGGGATTATCCACTAAATGTCCTTTTTATTAAAAAATAAATAAATAAAAAAGGAAATTATATTTTGTTACAGTGCTCTCTATATATTGTATACATAAAAGAACACAAAAAAATTACTCTATTCGAAAAAAGGGGATTATTGACTAAATCAAGATTTAACTTTTATTTATAAAAACTTCTAAAAGTTATAAAACATGAATGCATTCCTCATTAGGAATTGTATTCGTAATATTAAATATTATTTAACCCTAACATAAAATAAAACATCTGCAAATTTATTGTTACAGTGAAATCTTATCATAATCATATTTAAGCCAAAATTTCTCAATACGCAATTCAATAAAAATATCTTAAGAGGATAAATCATAAGACGTCACTGACTAAAACAATATACATACAAAGTTCTTAAAGGGTTAAATCATAGAAAGTGGCATAGCTCAAAATCTCCATTTAATCCAGTGAGGTGAAATGTTTTTAATTTAAAAATCCACCTCATCTCTTGTTGGGATAACAATTTATTAAAATACCCTCCTCTCCAATCCTTTTTAATCTTTTCTATCCCAAAAAGGGTAACTGGCTTGGATCTCATTGATGCTCTTTTATAAAATGTGAGGATAGCGTGTGTTCTTTAAAGCCCCTTCTGATATTATGAACACGCTCCTCCACTCTTATGTGAATTTGTCTTGTTGTTTTACCCACATACTGAAGATTACTGGGGCATGTTAATAAATAAATTAAAAAAATTGTATAAGAGGTAATTAATTGTTTTATTTTATATTCTTTCCCTGTTCGGCCACCTGTAAAGTTCCTTATTGCTTCCTTATGTGCTCCTGTATTTCTACAGGCTAGACAATAGCCACATTTAAAAAGCCTTTATCATCATTTAAAAAAGTATTTTCTCCTTTCCCATTCATAATGTTAAAACTGCTCTTGACGACTTTTGATTTGATACTTGGGACGCCTCTATAAATAATTTTAGGTCTCATTCCAATCTTATGTCCCAGTTGGAGATCTTCAGATAGGACAAACCAATATTTATTTGTAATCTTTTTAAAAACGTTTTCATTCCCTGAATAGTGATGTCCCGAACGGTTCGCCACAGCATCCATTTTGAAGCTGCATTCTTAGTGAGCTGTCCAGGAGGTGGGAGGGTCTGGGAGGGAGGGCCTGCTGCTGATTGGCTGGGATGTGTCTGCTGACTGTGAGGTACAGGGTCAAAGTTTACTCAATGATGAGTCCGCGGCAAACCGTTCGTGGTGAACCGTTCGCGAACCGTTCGGCAAACTGTTCGGGACATCACTATCCCTGAATAATCAAAGATTAATGGTACCTCCATTATGATT